AAGTTTGGACTTTGTGTTTGGCCTGCCGAAAGATTCGGTGGGCAACACGGGTGTCGTGTTATTCGTCGACCAGTTTGGCAAGATGGCTCATTTGGCGGCGGTGCCAGACACCATCAACGAGGTCGGTACAGCAACGCTGTTCGTGGATTGTGTTTTCCGACAACACGGACTCCCAGAGTCGATTGTCTCTGATAGAGACCCCGTCTCATGGGAAAATTTTGGTCGACTATCTTCAAGGTGCTAGGCACCAAGTTGGAGATGTCGACATCGGATCATTCGCAGACCGATGGCCAAACCGAAAGGGTATATCGCGTCATCAAAGACGCTCTTCGCAGCTTCTGCGCTGAGACGCCGAGGCGCTGAAGCGCCACGTTGCCACTCGTAGAGTTTGCACTGAACAATGCGGTGCATTCGTCTACCGGCTCCACGCCGTTCTACGTGAACGAGCTGATTCACCCTCGCGTCCCGCTGACGCCGCCAGCCCAAGGCCCAGGGCTTGGTGGAGGAGGAATAGCCAAACGGCTAGCTGATGTCAGCCTCCTCAACATCCGTAAGGAAGTAAATGACTTCTTGTCTACCAGACTGAGTGTCCTACGACACGTTCGCGATGCGATGGCTGAAAGCCAAGACCTGCAGAAACAATATGCAGATAAAAAAGGAAGAGGCAAAGTGGAAAGCTTTAAGGTCGGGGACCTGGTTTTATTGCATTCAAAAAACCTGCCTACACATGCAGCCCCTGCTATCTTTCGCACGAAGCTTCGTCCACGGTTCATCGAACCGTTTAAGGTTGTGGCCAACCGGGGCCTGGCATACACGCTGAACCTTCCGAAACGGATGCTCACCAACCCGGTGTTTCACGCGGGCTTGCTCAAGTTGTACCGGGATCTGGCGCAAGTGAACGCGGAAGCGTTAGCAACGGAGCGGATCCCACGGGCCCGCGGCCACCCAGAAATTAGACCAGCAACGGGTTCTGAGCACGGAGTGCAACAACCGCCATTTCCGATGGAGCTGAGCGCTCCACCGTTGCCTGCAACGATGCATTCGCCTGTTCCACGGCGAGGAGTCTTTCCGACAGAGCGCGGTAGTCCTCAAGGTGAGGCAGCCGGCGCACGACGTGCTACAAATCGTCAAGAGCGTCCGCACAGCGATAGGCTACTTCAGCATGACGCTCAGAGGAGCTTTGATCACGAAGGACCTCGTCCTCAAGGGCTCAAAGAGCATCACGAGTCATAGGACGGCGGTCGACCCAGTCGACCCGGTCGTCACCGTCCGCCATTGACTCTTCTCGATGAGAGCGGTGACGTCCACTATCACGTGGAACGTCTAGTGAGACGACGTCGTCACCAGGGTCAAACCCAATATCTGGTGAATCGGCGAAGATATCCCGACTCCGAAAACTCGTGGGAGTTTGAGGCGCCACTTCGGCAAGATTACCCCGTCTCCGTGGACGCTTTTGATCGGAAATTTCAGGACGTCCCGCCTCATCAGACGCCCCGCGCTTCCCGGTAATAGTCAGGGAAGTAGAAGGGTCGTGAGCTGATCTCAAGCAGTGGCCTGAGCTCTTGCGGTCGCAGACACAGAGCTCGTGGGAGCGTTAGGGGTTATCCCATACGTCGCAGGGCAACGATCCGAAGGATGTCGACGGCGTGCCTTGCCTTTGGCAAACACAAATCGGAGGTGTTGCTCCACACGCACGTCCAGTGCCTTGTGGCTCAGCTGTAGGTTATGCAG